TTCTGTATATATATAAAATTCAACACATTATATATATATATATATATATATATATATATATATAACATTATATATACAAACTACAAAACAGTTTTTTGTGAACTGATTCACTATCATTTAAAAGTTTGTAAAGTATGATTAAAAAAATAAAACAAGAAATAAAATTATGATAGATACATTTATAATGTTACAAAAGATTGCAATCTTAAATAATGTTCTTTAAAGAATAAAAAGAAAAAAAAAAGATTTTGATTTCCACCAAAATGTTAAGCAGCAAAAACTGTTTTTAACATTGATAACACAAACCATTATTAATAATTGAGTAACAAAAGATAATTGAGCATTAAATCAGCCTATTAGAACAACAATGATTTTTATTTAGTTATTCTTTTTTTATTTTATTATTATTTATATTTATTTTGATCAATAAAATCTGGCGATGTCACTACTGGGGGAAAGAATCCAGGTTGCTTTATAGCACTTCAGATGCATTGCTTACAACTGTGCCACCTTGAGTAAAAGATGTGGATCCTGTCATGAATTGTAAACATTTTTGTTTGCCCTTTAGTGCATTCTCATCTATCCACAATGGGTTTGTAATGAATTGAGAGGTGGCACGGCACCCTGTCTCCAAACTGCTGTCACTGTCAGGCCTGTGGAAGCACAGTCAGCAGCTTTTCAACTCTAGCTGAATTTATCAGAGTTTTCCAGAGTGAGAGACTCTGAAATGCTAAGTATGCTGTTTATTGCCTTCATTGGCTATCCATGGTGGCAACTCACTCTGTGCCAACAGAAAGAACAGAGCCCCTTTAGTGCATTTTATGTGCTCTTTAAAGGAAGTTATGGCAATTTGTCTGTCCCTTGCTATAAAATCCATCATGCCCATTAAACTGTATCAGTCAGGGAGAGGCCAGAATAAATATCAAACTTGCATAGCATAAACTATTCCCAAAATAATTGGATAAAAATTACATTGACAATCATAAATCGTATTAGTTTTATCTTCATTAGTAAATTATTCATAATTTTAAATCATTTTGGAATTTGGTGAGTGGATGTTACATTTTACATTCCATTAATTCATTCATTCATTCATTTGTACAATCATATATGCTCTATTTTTTGCTTTTAGCTATTTTATTTCAATCCTATAAATTCTCTTGCAATTGTGTAAATAATGGCATTTTTATTCACTACATTTAAGTATCTGAGATGCATCACAGCATATTTCTAAAAGTCAGATATACCCTTTTATAGAAAGCATTCTCACTTTTAAAGGTTTAAGATTTCAAAAGGTACTACATAACAGAAATTACCCATAAACTTAGTTTAGTTCTTTTATGTAATCACAGCAGTAAACCACAATAGACTTTTAATAGATATTAGTCATTTGGATCTACATACCCTTATGAATTATCAAGCAGCCTAATGCGTGTGCTGTTTCACTTCTCCGTTTTAAACTCTTAATTACAGGTAGAAATAAACAGAAGGAGATTTTCAGTCATTCCCAATGGCAAAATAACTCCATGTATACAGATTAAGACTTCTGTGTGTAGGCCCTTGTGTGGAGATATTTGATAGCATGTCTGTTTATTTCTAGTTGCCAGCTTTTAAATGCCTGGGTGGGAAGGTTTAATTAAAGGGATTATTTACCCAGTGAAATGTAAAACTGGGGGTTGATCCAACACTCGCAGTATGGCAATGCTATTAGAGGTCAGAAGCACCAACGGTGATGAAGTTTAATTTCCGAAATCTTTTAACCATAAAGTACAATTTTAGACTGTCAGCACTCGGAAATCAAAGCACAAATCATGTTCATGAGAAAGTGCCCAGCTAATGATTGCTAATCCTGTGTCGCTTCTGTGGTCATAATACAGACGTCACATAAATATCTGGATTAGAAAAGTCAGTTTGTGCTGTGAGGGACAGGGCATTAGAACGTTGGGCCTTAAAGGCTGTCATTTTGAGGACAATTTAGCTGTCACATGACCATCGAAGATACTTCAAACCATTAGCTCCCGGATATGGATGGTAATTTGTGTGCTGAATTTGTAAACCTTAAAGGCTGTCATTTTGAGGACAATTTAGCTGTCACATGACCATCGAAGATACTTCAAACTATTAGCTCCCGGATATGGATGGTAATTTGTGTGCTGAATTTGTAATACGTGAAATTTGAAGACTTTTTGCATTATCTGCTCTGATTTAAGGAGGTTTTCTGTGGATTGGGTTTGAATATGGTCAAATGTTTTAAATGAAGCCACTCAATACTAAGTGTTTTTAACTAGTGATTTTATGATTTTTTGTGATTTTATTTGTTACAAGTTTGTTTAAATTAAAATGTATATGATTGATCATGTTCTGAAGTAATTAGTAATACATAATAAAAATAGTTTGATAATTTTAAGACCTTATATATTTAAAACCAATGGCTTTCAAATATAATGTTGAATTGGGTATAGTTATTCATTTGATCATAAGTAACAAATAATAAAATAGAAATTTTAATATTAATAATATAATAAAATATATTAATATATTATATATAATATATTATTTCTATAATACATTGATACTAAAGAAATTCACATTAAACAATACAGTTCAAAATATACATTCTTTATGTTGATTCTAAATTAACTTGAGGATTCAGTGTTAGTCACGCTGAGTTCTGTTTCTGCTCTGTTTTGGTTCATTTTCTGTGTTCCCATTCATCTGTGTTCCCCTGTTAATCTGTTCCCTTAGTTACCAATTGCTCCACACCTGTTTCTGTTCTCACTGATTACGTTCCCTGTGATTATAAGCCCTGTGTTTTCCTCTGTTCCCTTGTCTCGTGCTAATGTTGTTTAGTGGTTATTGTCTCCTGTGTTCTCCAGTGTTGGGAATTATGTATTAAAGACTCTATTTTGGATTACCCTTTCGCTGTGTGCTTTATCCCTACCTACCCGTGACAGTTATGTAAATTAAAAACTTTAGATGTGATTAACTGAAATAAATTACAGAAAGCAGAAAATAAATACAAACATACATACTTACGTAAATGCTTAAAAGGCCTCACTTAGTTTATTGTTGCTCGTGGTTTGTTGTTTGTTTGTTTCCAGCTGGAATGTCAACCAGGAATAATGCTCCTTCCTCTCAGCTATGGCGAAGGAATATATCTTGAACAGACCTGGGGCCTGTACCATGAAGCCAGATTAGCTGGCTAGCCAGGTAAGTTTCAGTTTAGTTTGCACCAATCCTGGGTTTTAGCTACCATGAATGTGGCTTGGCTTTTAGCGGCGTTCATTGCCATAGTAACTTACACTGCACAGCTAACCTGCTCCAGGGCAGGTTATGTTCTGAGTAAGAGATCTCAAACTGAAATTGGACCAATCAGATGTGAGCAAAGTGACACATGTCTGATGCAAAAAAAAGTCACTCCCCCAGTTTCTCTTCCTACAAATTAAAGGTCACTATAAAATACCTTAAAGTGGTAGTTCATTGCGATTTCACTTTTTTAACATTAGTTAGTGTGTAATGTTGCTGTTTGAGCATAAACAATATCTGCAAAGTTACGAAGCTGAAAGTTCAATGCAAACGGAGATATCGTCTTTTAAAATACTGGCAGTTTAATGCCTACAAAAACGGCTGGTAGGGACTACAACAAGTTACTTCCCGGGTTCATGACGTAACAAACCCAGATAAACCCCACCCTCGGGAAAAGGCAACAATGGGGGCGAGGCCATGCTGCGCTGCTTTAGAGAAGAGGATGAGAAAACTAGAGGTGCATGTAAAAATCTATTCATATATGAATCGCGATTCTGTCTTCTAACGATTCTAATGGATTCACAAGTTTCAAAATCAATGTTCTAAAGCAGCGGTTCTCAATCCTGTTCCTCACGTCCCCCCGCTCTGCACACGCTCTGCATCTCTTTCTCTCGCTCTCTCGCTCTCATTCAGCTCAGCTCCAACAATGAACTGTTCCAATTATACACTTATTTTCACATAGCTATGAGAAGCGTTAAACATGGAC